TGCCTCCTTTCCCTTAGACACCTTTCCCCATTTATTAATTATAAATTTTGTAACATCATAAATTCCAAAACAATTTTTCACTATTAAAATAATAATTTCATTCATAAATATTATCCATCTCCATGTATCACATATCAAATCCATAAAATTTATCCCAAGATCACAATACATAAAAACTCCACAAGTGTGTACTGATCATGCCGGCGCCTTCCCGCGATCCTCACTGGTACCTGAAACACATAACACAAAACACTGTAAGCATAAATGCTTAGTGAGTTCCCCAAAATACCACATATAACACATATTAGCCACTCGAGGCTATAACTCTGTGGGCCCACTGGCCCTAACTCTGTGGACCCTCTGGTCCTAACTCTGTGGACCTTCCGGTCCTCACTCTGTAAACTCTGGAATACACACAACACAAATCACATAGAAATAATGCAATGCAACACATCACATACATAGCATACGAGATACTCTGTCACATAACTCTACTTACCACTCAAGGTAAAGTATAGTGAGAAGACTCACCCCGGATAACTCGGTAAACCTCGAACTCGGAAATACTGATCTAGCCTTCGCCTAATCACATAAAATAATTACTTTAATTAATATGATTTTCAAGGACTAGGCTAATCCCTCTCTAAGTTCTCTAAGAAGGGTAAAAGACCATTCTACCCCTCCAATGGCTCACAAGTCCAAACATTGACTCAACCCTAAAAGTCAATGAAGTCAAATCTAGTCAACGGTCAAACTTTGACCAGACTTGTCGAGTGCATCCGGGCGACTCGGTGAGTCCACGCGGGTCCTCTGAATCCTTCTAAGCCTTACTTGGCACGTCGAGTCCCTCCTCCACTCGCCGGGTTTCTCTGCAACGAATCGCAGGGCAACCCCGACTCGACTCGTCGAGTCTACTTATGAACTCGACGAGTTGCTCCCATGACAACACTCAAATGACCTTCTGAGGTCAGATCTGCTTCTCAAAACTATAGATCTGACTTCCCCACGACCAATAACCACGTAAAGGTCGAATCTTGACTTACATGCAACGCACCCAAGGCTTCTTTTGGTGAAATAACTACTAAAATGGCCACCTAGGCTCATAACCTCAAAGGAATGGCATAAAGCAGAGTGATAGGGGCTCTCTGGACCTCTTAAGGTCCAGATCTAAGAATCATTTCACCGTGGGACCTCACACACTCCAGATTCAAGCTAAATAATGCATAAAGAAACCCTAGATTCAACTAAATCATCATAAATACGAGGATAAGCACAGATTGATACCTCCAACAGCTTCCTCTGATCAAATGGAAGTAGATCCAAGCTCCCCAACCCGCCTAGCTTGTCCTTCCTCCTTCCTTCTTGCTAAAACACACAAGAAATGGTGAACAATGTCCTCCTTTCTCACTGACAAGACTCACAGATGCTCTGGTACTCTCAAAGACGAAGGTAGCCGCAAATAAGGGCCATAAGGTCCTTTAAATAGGGTGCAGGCCCGGAGATTTAGGGTTTCAGCCCACAGCACGGACTCGTCGAGTCCACTCTTTCCGACTCGTCGAGTCCATTCATTAATCCAGTCAGCAATCGTGATCCTACTCGACGAGTCTAAGCGTCAACTCGTTGAGTCCCTCTCTTTAACTCAAAATAAATGATCAAAACGTAATACCTGGAAATCCGGATGTTACAAATTTGACCCTATTATATATTTCCTCCCCATTCATAGGTTTTGGAGAGGGTGAGAACTCTTGTTGTCCATTGAATGACTTTTTTTGTCTTCTCAACGGGTGATCATACGGTAGAAATCGTCTATGACCAACATAACTTTTCTTATTCGATTCAGGGAGTCTAAGGCAGTGTGTTTCTTCGCCACATACAACACAACCTTGAAATCCGCTGTATGGACATCCACTTAATCTACCTAGAGCAGGATAATCATTAATAGTCCATAACACAACTGCACGTATTTTAAACTGCTCTTATGCATATGCATCGTATGTTTCAACTCCAATATCAAATAATAATTGCAGATCATCAATAAAAGGTGCTAGGAACACATCAATATCGTTTCCTGGTGTTCCCGAAATCAATAACGAAAGCATGATGAACTTTCTCTTCATACACAACCATGGTGGAAGGTTGTAAATGACAGTTAAAATAGGCCACACACTACGATTCCTATTTCATATGTTCACATTGACCCCGTCAGCCGAAATGCCTAGCCGCAAATTTCTTGGTTCCCCAGCAAAGTCAGGATATTTGTCATCAATGGCAGCCCATGCTGGTGAATCAGCTGCGTGACTTAAAACACCAATATCCACCTTTCTGTCTGTTGCGTGCCATGTTAAATCTTTTGCAGTAGTCTTGGACTGAAAAAGTCGTTTCAAGCGCACAATAATTGGAAAGTACCACAAAAATTTTGCAGGAATATACTTGTAAATTTTATTTTTTTGTTCATCGACCTTCCATCTTGATTTACCACAAGTAGGACATGCTGCCATGTTTGTGTATTCGTTTCTTATAAGTATACAGTTGTTAACACATGCATGTATCTTAGTATACCCTGAACCCATTGCCTTGAATGCTTTTTTGGCCTCGTATGTACTACTATACATTTCGTTTCCTTCTGGTAACATATTTTTGATCAAAACTAATAATTCTGTAAAGCACTTATCTGATACTCCATTCTTACTCTTCAAGTTGAGTAGTTGTATGATTGCAGATAATTTTGTGAAATTATGACACCCTTTATATAGTTTCTTCTCGGCATCTTCTATCAGTTCTCTAAACTTCTTAGGGTTCCCAATAAACTTTTCTTCTACAGCTTCAACCATCTCTACTGTTTCTGCAGCATATGCTGGCATTTCTGTGTTCATGTTCGTGGAATCAACAACGTATGACGTGTCCATGTCAAAATTATGTTCATATATATATCTTCTGGGTCGTTCCTCTATTTCTCCATGCTTATTCCAGTTCGTGTATGTTTCATCAATTCCATTCCTGAATAGGTGATCATCTACCACATACACCGAATGAGATATGTGGTTTACACACTTGACACATGGACATGGAATTCTTATATTTTTGGTATCTACAGGATCCATATTATTAGAAATCTTGTAATTTTGTACTGCATATTTCAAGAATTCTGCAACATCCTTTACATAGGTTTCTGATGTTCTGTAAACTCCCATCCAAGACTTATCCATATTCAGTTTACAATAGCATCAACAAGCAATATATGTTTCCTGTTTATTGAAGCATTTTAACAAACCGTTGGTGTGCATAAACGAAATAGATCACATTACAAATAAATCCAATATATGGAAACCAAAAACTTGTTAATCCAAGAAAATATAATGATACACATCATGACCAAACGAAATAGCAAAGATTCATATATTGAGGGTAATTATTTTTTAAGTCCCTGTATAAATTAGTGTAGTATATGTACCTGTATGAATTTCATGTTGAAGTATCAATTTCTGGTTGAAGTATAAACGTAGTTGCAATGCCTTTGTAGTAAGCAGAGAATGATTCAATGGGAATTCATATTGTCTAAAAATTCATATTTACGCAATGGGTGTGGATGATCAGGGACATATCGAGAAACAAAAAAAAAGCAAAAAAAATTGTTGCTAGTGGGGTTCGAACCCATGCTATTCCAAACTATACCATTAACTACATGTACACCTACCAACTGAGGTGACTGGTTGTCTATAAGTTATTAATTTACGAAAAAAACAAAACAATAAACTAAATGAGAAACATTTGACGAAAATACCCCTGCATCCTCTAGAACTGATCTAAGACAAACACAGTTAGCATCAATCATACATTCCTCATTTGATACAATAAATGTAATTTTGGTTGCACATTGTTTTTAATTAGCCTTCACAATTGGAAATAAAAAATAAATGACAAAAATACCCATGATTCTTCTCACACTTTTTTTGTTTAATTGTAGTTATGCACATCATATATGTATCCAAGATTAACTTATTTTTTTCCTATCAATACTATGATGATGCATACCCTTAGGTGATGTTTCCTTTTTCTTTTCATTATCTATACTGAATGACCATTATACCCTTATATCTCAAACACAATTTCAATGGGAAATTATAACATTTTCTTTGTTTTATGATAATAACAAATAATTGACAGATATACCCCTCCTTTAGCATAATCTCCATATGTTGAAAACAAACATGGGACAAACTAACTAATCTAACCAATAACATAACTCTAAAGTGGAACTAAGTTGCAAAGTACATTGCTTTTTTTTACAAAACAATGCAGCAAAACAGGGACAATACTGACTCAGTTATAAGTATGAAACACAATCAAAATTACAATATAAAATTAAAATTATAGTTACTTCCCATTTTGCCCCTAAGACAGTTATAATCAAAACAACATCAAATATAGACATATAATATATAACATTAAACAACAAAAAAGAGTTTCATATTGCTTACAAAAAAAGAGTTTCATATGTACTCTGTATTAAACACAAAATGGAGTACAACATAGGTCGCCTACACTATGTTTTTCCATGCAAGCACATTCTCCTTTGCCATGTCCATTGCATCTTACATTTTTTCTCTTGGAATGGTCATGTTTAGCATATGCTTGATGTATGCTATTCCATCATCAACTGTTGTCATTGGGTGTTCTGTTACAAACAGATGAATAAGCTTGTCAACTCTTTCGGATGGTGAGTTCATCAAAAAGTGGGGGAAATTGATTGGAATAAATACAGGCCTGTGTTCAACATACAGATGTTCAATCTCTCAGAGTTGGTGTGCCCTAACGATCATCTTGAAAGTTCCCAAACAATCATCATTCAGAATTGGAATCATTGACAACCCACAGTTTTATTCGGTTGGCATATGATACCAGCTACCCAAAGTTGTATACACCAAGCTTTTGGAAAAACGACCAAGCATCTCCATGTTGAGCAAATTGATGTTGACATAAGAAATAAAGTGAAATTTTGTCTATTCATACACCTTACCTGGATAGTCTGTAAAAAACCCGCCATGTACAACTCTAATGGTGAATCTCTTCCTATTTGCTTTCCCGTACTCTAGTAATGGTGTGTTTTTTGGTGGTTTACTACTTACACTCCATAGTTGGAACCTCGGATTTCCCCATGGATCAGCATTCATCTTTGTTTCCATTGATCGTCGGAGTTTTTTTTCACAGAGGAGGAGCAAATAATCAAAGTTATCGTATGGTAATGAAGATGTAAGAATGACGATTTTGATATAAGGGGAGGGTTTAAATGGATCATCATTCGGAGCTGAAGGGACATCAACACAGGCCATCACTTCTGATTAATAGAAGGCTACAAGGGAGGTGGAATTTGAACGACGGCTGTGATAATGATTACCGATATTGTATTATACATTAATATAATATTTACATTAATATATATAATATTAATTAAGTGTAATATCCATACTTGCTTTGTTTTTATTATTACCATAAAAAAATAAATTTATATATAAATTCGTTATAAATATATAAAATTATTTTTTTAATTCATATGAGTAAGGGTTGACCATTATTAGGTCATGTACTAATGGTTTTGGACCAAAAGGTGTTATAATATGGGTATGGGTTGCAGGTGGTCGGGTGTTGCAACGGGTTGACCATTATTAGGTCATGTACGGGTGTTGGTAATGGTTTTGGACCAAAATGGGGTTATAATATGGGTATGGGTTACAGGTGGTCGGGTGTTGGTACAGGTTGACCATTTATAGGTCATGTACGGGTGTTGGTAATGGTTTTGGACCAAAATGGGTTATAATATGGGTATGGGTTGCAGGTGGTCGGGTGTTGGTACGGGTTGACCATTATTAGGTCATGTACGGGTGTTGGTAATGGTTTTGGACCAAAATGGGTTATAATATGGGTATGGGTTGCAGGTGGTCGGGTGTTGGTTCGGGTTGGCCATTATTAGGTCATGTACGGGTGTTGGTAATGGTTTTGGACCAAAATGGGTTATAATATGGGTATGGGTTGCAGGTGGTCGGGTGTTGGTACAGGTTGACCGTTTTTAGGTCATGTACGGGTGTTGGTAATGGTTTTGGACCAAAATGGGTTATAATATGGGTATGGGTTGCAGGTGGTCGGGTATTGGAACAGGTTGACCATTATTAAGTCATGTACAGGTGTTGGTATTGGTTTTGGACCAAAATGGGTTATAATATGGGTATGGCTTGTAGGTGGTCGGGTATTGGTACGGGTTGACCATTATTAGGTCATGTATGGGTGTTGGTAATGGTTTTGGACCAAAATGGGTTATAATATGGGTATGTGTTGCAGGTGGTCGGGTGTTGGAACGAGTTGACCATTATTAGGTCATGTACGGGTGTTAGTAATGGTTTTGGATCAAAATGGGTTATAATATGGGTATCGGTTGCAGGTGGTCGGGTGTTGGTATGGGTTGACCATTATTAGGTCATGTACGGGTGTTGGTAATTGTTTTGGACCAAAATGGGTTATAATATGGGTATCGGTTGCAGGTGGTCGGGTGTTGGTACGGGTTGACCGTTATTAGGTCATGTACGGGTGTTAGTAATGGTTTTGGACCAAAATGGGTTATAATATGGGTATGGGTTGCAGGTGGTCGGGTGTTGGAACGGGTTGACCATTATTAAATCATGTATGAGTGTTGGTAATGGTTTCGGACCAAAATGGGTTATAATATGGGTATTGGAACAGGTTGACCATTATTAAGTCTTGTACAGGTGTTGGTAATGGTTTTGGACCAAAATGGGTTATAATATGGGTATGGCTTGTAGGTGGTCGGGTATTGGTACGGGTTGACCATTATTAGGTCATGTGTGGGTGTTGGTAATGGTTTTGGACCAAAATGGGTTATAATATGGGTATGTGTTGCAGGTGGTCGGGTGTTGGAACGAGTTGACCATTATTAGGTCATGTACGGGTGTTAGTAATGGTTTTGGATCAAAATGGGTTATAATATGGGTATCGGTTGCAGGTGGTCGGGTGTTGGTATGGGTTGACCATTATTAGGTCATGTCCGGGTGTTGGTAATTGTTTTGGACCAAAATGGGTTATAATATGGGTATCGGTTGCAGGTGGTCGGGTGTTGGTACGGGTTGACCGTTATTAGGTCATGTACGGGTGTTAGTAATGGTTTTGGACCAAAATGGGTTATAATATGGGTATGGGTTGCAGGTGGTCGGGTGTTGGAACGGGTTGACCATTATTAAATCATGTATGAGTGTTGGTAATGGTTTCGGACCAAAATGGGTTATAATATGGGTATGGGTTGCAGGTGGTCGGGTGGTGGTATGGGTTGACCATTATTAGGTCATGTACGGGTGTTGGTAATGGTTTTGGACCAAAATGGGTTATAATATGGGTATGGGTTGCAGGTGGTCGGGTGTTGGAACGGGTTGACCATTATTCGGTCATGTGCGGGTGTTGGCAATGGTTTTGGACCAAAATGGGTTATAATATGGGTATGGGTTACAGGTGGTCGGGTGTTGGTACGGGTTGACCATTATTAGGTCATGTACGGGTGTTGGTAATGGTTTTGGACCAAAACGGGTTATAATATGGGTATGGGTTGCAAGTGGTCGGGTGTTGGAATAGGTTGACCATTATTAGGTCATGTACGGGTGTTGGTAATGGTTTTGGACCAAAATGGGGTTATAATATGGGTATGGGTTGCAGGTGGTCGGGTGTTGGTACGGGTTGACCATGATTAGGTCATGTATAGGTGTTGGTAATGGCATATAAATGATTATAAAAAATTATTAAGCTAACTAGACCTTAGTATTATTTTTGTTATATAATAATATTTTTCCATTGTATATATAATTTTAAATTTTAAATATTTTTTATTTCCAATAGTCATATAGTTGTATCCTAAAATTAATTTGTTAAGTTAGAAGGACCAAATATGTAATATTTTTATTAATACCAAATAAATCGTTATAATGTTTGAAAAGCCAGAACATGTTTCCAAACCACGATTTTTGCTTCTCATCGTGTGGGATTATTATCAGATCAAAATTTGGAAAACATTTGAATTCATCAAACGAATTTAAACAAAAATAATGGGAGGCAAACATTTTTTCGTATGGTTTTTGGGCTCCAAATCAAAGCGGGAAATTGTCATCTATCTCACCGCCAAAACTATTAAGATCAATCCATCTGATCAAGGAAATTCCGGTAAATTTTTGGTAACATCCATCAATTTAGGACGTATTAATTCATTTTAATATTTAGTAGACCTTCATTTATTCCACCATTGTTTTGTTTAGCGTTAGGTTATATCCCAATTGGATCATAATTCAGTTCATCATTCATCAAGCTTTCTACTGTAAGTATATTGTTTGTGTATTCTGTCAATGTTATTGATTGTATTGATTATGGATCATGCATAAAACACACAATTTTGATTCTTCATATTGGTGTGCTTGTTGCATACCAACTGTTCGATGAAATGTGTATCTGAACAATTGTCTGTAATATTAGTTAGTCATACCTTTTCATTAAACATATAAATAATCAAACTTAGTTATTATGTTTCATGCCAACAGAAGAATCATGGAGGTGAACAAGGAACAACATGAGGATATGCCCGACTATGATACGGAATATGAGGAAGATGATGGAAACCAAGAATATGATTCGGAGACAGAAGATGGTGAAAATAAGGACATTCATTACAATAGCCATTCAGATTTGGAAGAAGAAATCCAAAACACAGTTCCTACAAGGTCAAATAGGAAGAGGGGCATGACTCCATTGCCAAAGCTGAAGACTGAGTATGTCAATTCTGGTGGTAGAAAAAAATGTGTCAGGTTTGATGAATTCTGTAAGTTTACAGGGAAGAATAATGCAGTATTTGTTAGTTATTTGGGTGATCTTGTCCGCGAGAAGGTGGGATTAAGTGCTCTTTGCTGGAAAAAAGTTAAACCGGAAGTGAAGGACAAACTATGGGAAGAGATTACAGTAAATATTTTCTTCACTTTTTTAAACTACATATCATATTATATGTAAAAATCAAGTATTAAATACTAGCATATTCATTGTTGTTTCATTTTAGCGCTATTTTGAAGTTCATGAAAGTGGAAAACAATTTGTGATGAATAGGCTTTGTATCCTTCTACGGAACTTCAGAAGGAAGTTGTATGCAGATTACATCAAGCCACAGCTAGGCAATCCCAAAAAGCATGAAAAAATCCTCGTTCGTTATCGTGCACTAATTACTGAAAAAGATAATTGGAACAAATTCGTGACATAGACGCAATCTCAAGAGTTTAATGTTACAATCTTTTTTCAAAACTTCTTCATTTACTTATCATAAACTGGGTTACAAAAGTGTGTGACAAATATTTTACTTTTTTTGATAGAATGTGTCACAAAGGACTATCAAAGCGAGAAAGATGTCAAAGTATGCTCATCGGATGGGACGAGGGCGGTATACTACTCTTACGAGGAAGTTGGTAAGCTTGGTCTTTAGCTATATGATCCTATTATATTAACTTCATAGCATTGTAGTTAACAGGCTTTTGTTTCATATTCTTTACAATTTAATTTTTTTTTATCAAGATTGAAGAGAAAGTGATTTCAAAGGAGGAAATGCCCCCAAGGTCAGTTATGTGGTGTAAAGGACGTGAAAGTAAAGGAAAATTTAAGGATGAAGATGTTAAAATCATGGCTGATAAACTAGTAACTTCACTAAACTTTTCTATTTCTTTTACTATAAATATTTTAATCACTTTTATTAGGACAATAATTATTAATATTTTGTTTGGTAGATGGAACATGAGAAGCAGATAAAAGAAGGACAAGTAAATGTTGAACCAGACACGGATGCCATGAACTTAGTTTTTGGCAAGGAAAAGGGTGGATTTTTAAAGGGTGTCGACACGGGAGTCACTTACAACAGATATTTCAATGTTCGTCGCAGCAAAGGATCATCTAAGGAAGAAATTAAAGATCTTGAAGTTGCACTGCATAATGGAAAACTTGAGCTTGAGAAAAAAGATGTTGAACTCAAGGTTTTGTCTACAAAGGTTAATGAACAAGATCAAACACTAAAGCTAGTTTTTGCTCATCTTAATGCAAAAGGAGCTGAGTTTCCAAAATCTGTCACATACAGTTGTAAGTAGTTTTATTAAAAACATTTATTGTCAATGTTACTTTTAAATTGCATTTCTTTTAGACAATTTCCCTGTTTCTTTATATTTGCTAGGGTATTTCAAGTGAGAAGATTGTTCAAAGTAATGAAACGTCTCTTGTTAGTCTCAAAACCAATGAACCTTCAGAACCTGTAACA